GTTATTATATATGTATATTGATATATTTGTTATATATTTAAATTAATTAAAATTAAATTAATATATAACTTTACTTTAAAAGGTTACTCTACTCCAAAATTGTCCAATTTTCTCGAGAGAAAAATTGAGTTATTTTAAAAATTAAATCATTCTCTTACCATACGTGCCATAAATTGGGAAAATGCATCTTGCTGATTGCTGTCCGATGATTGAGTAGTTGGTACACTGGAATTGGTGCCAGTCGTGTTCGGTGTTGTGGGTGCAGGTGGAACCGTAAGGCCCATACTAAAACACACATTTGTACTTATTTAATCATGCGCTATTAAAATATTAATTTGTAAAGCAAACGATATAACGAATATAAACTTAAACTTACTTTTTATATAAAGAAACTTTTTATATAAAGAACTTACTTCTCCACGAGTTCAGGAGCGACGGTGCGCAATTGTTCCATACCCCGCTGAATCTGCATAATGGCAGCTAAAGCGTCAGGGTTGGTGACGACACTCTGTATCTGCGGATTTTGCATTTGTTGTATAAAGGCGGGCATCATCGCACGCATTTGCTCTTGCATCTGCGGATTACCACGGAGAAACGGATTTGCTGCAATTACCCGGCTGGCCATCGCTGGATCAGCCGCCATTGCTTCCAATATGGATCTCGTATATGGAGCATTCAGCATGTTTCGCATCAACTGTGGATTCTCTATCATCTGTGCCGTGAGACTCTGCATACCTGGTGAATCTAGCAGACCTCTGCCTTGATTTTGTTGTACCGTACCACTGTCGTTCTGGTTTTGATTCCATGGGTTCGGCAACGGATCCCGATTTTCCTGACCTTGTTGTGGATTTTGCGAGTCCTGATTGGAACTGTTTTCCACTAGAGCGGCGAAAGGATTACGACCATTCGTTGCGGCTGCTAACATAGGCTCCTGAATATCACGATACATACGACGTAGAGCGCTATAACCACCAGGTATGCTTTCTAAATTAGACAAAGCTCGATCATGCGAACGCATCAGTTCTTGCAGCATTGACGGGTTACGTGCCAATTCCATCGTTTGTCTGAAAATTAATTTTCATAAATAACATTGTGTAATATTGCACAATTGACAAATATATAGTTTCCAAATTGTAATTTAAAATATTGACTCTGCAATTAACTTAAAAATATAAATGAAAAACATCTCAAAGTTAAGAAATATATACCGCTGGAAAAACATTGTCATTGATTTTCAATTCAATCGAAAAGTACAAAAAGAAATTTGATTAGAAATAAATCTTTGATTTGAAATTGATTGAATCTTTAAATACTGCGCAATATATGTGATTCAAGCTTGAGAGAAGGATAAGAAAGAAATATTGTAATTTGACTATTGTATGCAAATTAGCTTTTAATTAAATTTTAATTATTGTTTAAGATTACCTACCGTAAAAGTTCAGGGTTATTCAACATGTGACTGATTTCTGGGTTACGTTGCATCAATTCTTGCATTTGGGGATTGGCGGTAACCAAATTACGCATATTCTCTGGATCATTCATCAAACTCTGAACCAATGGATTATCGAGCACTTGTCGCATCGTTTCTGGATTCGAGAGCAATTCCCGTTGCATGCGTTGCTGTAAGTCTATGAAATTAGCCGAGCCTAAGCCAAGAGACTCTAATCCCATCAATCCCCCTAAGCTCCCCAAACCAAATGGACTGGCATTAACATCAGCTGTAATTTATATATAATCATCAAATATTATACACTTCTTTGTGCAATATAAATATTTATGTTTGCAAATTTAAAACTGAAATATTCTTATTAAATAATCCTTAATTGTAACTATTAATCAAATTACATTGTAATTCTAAAAAAAAAATCTAATCTAAGATTTATTGTATTGACAAATTTTTTAAGTTATAAATTAAATTTGTAAATTATTTTTGCATATTTTTTAGAAATTTTAAAAAATTTTTTACATTAAAATATTCACATGTGATCTGCAGCTCACAAAAAATTCCTTTTTTTATTCTGATAGTCGTCTACATACAGAGGTATATTAATAATAAGAATGTTTAGAGAACATAGAATACTCCATGGTCCACATTCATGTTAAATGTTCCATAGTATCGCAGCTTAATTTTATCGCTGTATTCGATTAAATTCAAGTTGTGTTCGGTAGAATACCTTGTGGTCTCGAGGCCGAGTTGGACTCCTGATTCTGAGTAGTTGCAGTGCGTGGAGCCTTAATCACCAGATGCACCGCCAGACCGTCCTTGATGTTGTGAGTACTGAGGGTCTCATGATCCTTCATGATCTTGCCGGCGAAGATGAGGCACAGCTGATCGGATTGTGCATTAAACTTCTTGGAGACTGCCTCCTTAAACTGCCGGCGTGTCCGAACGAAGAGGGAGGGGGGAGGGGGAGGGGAGGAGAGAAAAGAAAGAAACAAACACAAGATTAGAGATGCCAAACTAACCAAATCGATTTGACAGCTGATGCTTGGCGTAATGCCAAGGGGGCAGCGATTAGACCGCGAACGGCAGAGAGAAGGTTCGCTGTCGCCATCGTCATTGCCCTGCACTTACTTCTTTTATCGTCGCATTCTCCTCAATCTCGACGGTCTGCTTTTCCTTTGGGGTTTTTACGTTGACGGTGATCTTTTTCGGACCACCCTCCTGCTGGCCTTCTGCCATCTTGGATCGGTAGATGACTCGTTACTTTCGACGCTCGCGCGATACTCGGTACGCGGTACGTGGTACGCTCGCTCACGCTCGATCTATCTCGGTCTATCTCTCTTTGTCCTTTCCGCTTCTCTGTCTCTCCCCCTCGATCTCACGACCGCGGAATTGCGCACCGACGACACCGCGACACGATAGGACACGACACGACGCGACGGCGACGACACTCCCTCGCTCTCGTCCTCGCCCTCGCCACGCGATGCGATCCGCTAATCCGTTGAGTCCGTTCACCGTTGCTTACGCCCGACGCAACGGCGAGGAACTATTACAGAATATATAGTAGCGAAAAGCGAAACTCTCCCGATTCCGCTAATTTCTAGCTCCAGCGTGTACGAAATTCAACTGCGCATGCGCGAGCTAAAGCTCGTGGCACATGTATGTATACATACATCACATACAAAAACGTAAAGAGGGGAGCACAGACTATTATAATAAGGAGCCCCGCACAATAAAAGGAATAGAGAACAAGAATTTCAACCTATCAGAAATCATGTATTGTGGAATACACAGTTTCTGATAGGTTGCAATTCTCTGTTCTTTGTTCCCTATTCCTTTTATTGTACGGAGCCCCTAATGCATAACATAGACTCTTGTATAAAGCATAAGAAATTCAACCAATTAGAGTTCTTTATTTCATGGGAACAAAGGAAACAAAGAACTTGATTGATTCATTTCTTTATGCATTTGGCTGCTTTCACATACAGCGTAACTTGCGTAAGCATAAGGGGCTCCGCACAGGGAATAGAAAATAGAGAACAAAAATTTCAACCTATCAGAAATCAAGTATTGTGAAATACACAGTTATACTCATAGGTTAAAATTCTTATTTTTTGTTTTCTGTTCTCTTATTGTTCTGTTCCTTTTATTGTGCGGAACTCATAACTTGCGTCAACTAATCAAATTGTATCAAATTATAGGAGTGGTCGAGTGTCACTCTTATACGAATGCTTCGAAGCATTTGATTAAGCAAGAAAAAAAAATTTTACTATTGACCAATCAAAAAATGCTTTGAATTTAAGGAAGCCTTAAATATAAAACCTGACTATTACTCGTATTCATAATCAGGTCTTATATTTAAGGCTTCCTTAAGTACAAGGTCTGACTATGAATACGGGCATTAAGGCTTTTTCTATGCTAACTCTCGACACTCATTTTCGGCGTCAAAATAAGTCACGTGACAGTAATTGACAAATATCAAACTGACAAAAATATCAGTTTTGATCACTTGACTTATTTGACGCTGAAAATGAGTGTAGAATGTCAACATAAAAAGATATCTTTATTCTAGTTGAGACGATTTGATTAGCTGACACAAGTTACGCTGCATGTGAAAGCAGTCTTACGGCCAATATAAATGTCAATGCTATGATTATGCAGTTTGTCGTTAGTTATGTGGGTAGTCCTTAAATTTACATGATTTTAATTGATAATTAAGGGAGCTTTCCAACAAGAGACACAAATTGACACAAGAGTCATTCTGTCCTTGTTCAATAATCAGTAAGAAAGACGGAATGACTCTTGTGTCGATTTGTGCCTTTGTTGGAAAGTTTCTTAAATTTATCTTTAGATACCCTACGAATTATTTTATTGGCTGCTGACCATCTAAAAATAAATTTAAGGAAACGTTAAGTACAAGGACTGACTATGAATACGGACATAAGTAGCCTTTGTCCTCACAGAAAAAAGAATTCATAAATGAAGTGAAACATTGCGCATAATAGCAATAGTAATATTGAAAATAACCAATCAAATGTTTCCCAATACGTATTTTCCTATGTATAATAGATCTGGTTATAGCCAACTAGAATAGCCAATGAAATGTTTCCCAAATTCAAATTGCGTATCCACGCAAGTGCTTCATCTTATTTCATCATGATTTTATTCATGTTATTTATCAAATATTAAACAAGAACAAATAATATGGCTGTGTTCAGCAGAGAAAACTAATCAGCGCTTAATGATTCTTTAATATGATTGGTTCCTAAACTCAGCGAAGATCTAAAGGATCAATTATATTAAAGAATCACAACGCAGCCAATGTTCATGAAAGTCATGGTGTAAGCAAACTAGCAAGCCTTGTGAGTAGTTGTGACTTGTGACTGTGTGAGTTATGAGGGTCAGGTAGAACGCACCTGATGTCTTTGGTTCTGATCGTATTTTCGATTTCTCAAATTAAAGCCAATTGAAGAAGAAAAATAAAATTACATACAAGTTGATACAAATGTCGTGACGGTGACTCGTGACGCTCGTGACTCGTTGAAAATTCATATCGCTATAGGAAAAAATCCTATAAAGAAAAAATCGTTAAGAGAATCAACAAACTCCAAACATGGTAAGAGAACTAAAGAAATCGATGATTTTACCAAGGTAACCAGGGAAACGGCAAAAATCTTGCCAAAATTTGTTTCTCAAATGGAGAGTAATTAAGGTTAACAATTTAGCATGACACTGGATGACTTTTCAGTTTCAGTTCGGGTTTAACATGTTCCCGGAGATTCCACGGCCTTTCAACACTCAGTACAAATGCTTCTCAGTGTCGATGTTGCCTGGAACTTATCGTCAGGATGTCGAACGCGGTGGCAAGAGTGAGTACCAACTGGCAATTAGATGATAAGAAGAAGAACATTTTGCATTGATCTGTTTTTTTTTTAGTAATCATGCCACCATCTGCATTGGAACAGCTTACAAGGCTTAATATTATTTATCCAATGTTATTTAAACTAACCAACAAGAAAACAAATAGAATTACTCACTGTGGTGTACTGGAGTTTATTGCCGATGAAGGAAAAGTCTATTTGCCTTATTGGGTTAGTGAAGAAAACCTATATATATTATATATA